TTGCCGAAGGTCACCATGGCTCAGGGCCCTTACATGTCCCTTTCTTCTTCCTAGGCTTCTCACTTGAATTTATGCCCTGGGCACCAAGCAGTCTACAGGATGAGACTGTGCTCCTGTGGTTCTAATATGAGGAGGGGAAGGACACCTACAGCCAGGTGCCCGTCTTTTAGGGATACCTGTCTGTCCCAGGATTGGGTAGCAGACTCTGACCTAACCTGGCCTAAAGGCTGTCTCTGGCAGCTGCGAGGAAGGTGGGCGCTGACCAAGGTGCTGAACCCTTACGGCTCCTTCCTCTTACTGCTCAGACTGAGGGAGAAAAGGGAGATGGGAGAGAAAAGGCGTACATTTTAGTCACTTGGGGGGGGGGGGGCAACCTGTTTGGGGCATTTTTAGGGAGACCCTTGGAGCTAGAAATTCTGTGGTTTGCATGACCTTGGAAAGGTCACTTAACTGTTCTGGGCCTGCTTTTCCATCTGTTCAATGGGGAGAGTAGCTCCTATCCTACTCAGCTCAGGAGGCAGAGGTGAGCGTTATTTGGTGACAGAGCCCTGCACAGAGCCCGAGCCCATTTCTGGGGCCCCGTGGAGGTGCTCAGGCACTCACCATAACAGGGATTTCATGGGCCTGTTTCTTCTGTTTAATGCTCCTGTGCTGGGTGGTTGCAGATGCCCCGCACCTGGGTGCCCTGGGAGCCGTGGCTGTATGTGGAAGTGCTCAGATACAGGAGCTAACCTGACAAACAGGACAGGACTGAGACCATCCTAAGATTATGTTCCTGTCTCGCACAAGCCCTGACTTGGTTTTCCAGCTTCAGAAATGTTTTTCTCAGGGATCCATGCTCTTCACCTGCATAGGATGCAGCGGTTCTCCAGAAAGAGCACTGGCTTTAGAACTAGGTGGACCCAGTTTGCTTTAGAACTAGGTGGACCCAGTTTTCCCATCAGGCTACCACCCCGAGAGGGCAAGTCCAGCACCTCAACCAATGCTGCCAACAGTGTTATGGCAGGGGTGGCTAAGATACTACACATGACTAGGAAAAACCTAGTATACTGAGTACCAGGTAATGCTTGTTTCCAGCAGTGGAGGGCAGTTTCCCTTCCTTTTGTCCACGAGCCACCAGGCTCAGTAATAGTAATAGCTGGTAGCCACTGTGCTCATGTGGCTCAGTAATAGTATAGCTGGTAGCCATTGAGCTCCAACTATCTGTTTATAGGACACATCCGGCCGGATCCAACAACAATCCCGAAGGTAGAGGCGATGCTCACTTTGCAGATAAGGCCACACACCGGCAAAGGTAGGGCTGAGAGTGCACCCATGCCTGCCTGATTCTGAGACTCTGGCTTGGTTTTGAGCAAATTACTGGGCATTTCCAAAGTCTCTTTTTCTGGTCTAGAAAATGAGGATATAATAGTATCGCATTATGGTTATTATTTGAAGATATAATGTATTCTATAGTACAAGAATGTATGCATATTTAAAAACATATGAGACACATTTGATTCATGGGTCAAGCAAATGGAGTGGATTCAGGGGGTAAAAGTAGAAAATCTTAAAACAAGGGCTTTTGCATGCACTAATCGTATTGTGCCATGAGCCAAGAAGACTGCACCTGATATCCAGGTGAAGGAAAATATTGTAGTTTGTACACTAGAGCATCTTAAACTTTAATATGCACATAAGACTCCCATTTAATAAGTCTTGGGTGCAGCCTGAGAGTCTACATGTCAAACAAGTTTCCAGGTGCTGCTGCTGATTTGAATACCAATGTAGAAAGTCTTTTCCTCCCTTCTCAGTTCTCAGACTTGCCAGATAATGTGAATCACTTGAGGAACTCATAAACATGGATTTAAAGGCCAGATCCCTGTCTGGCTCGGGCTCAGGGTGTACTTTGAGCAAGCATCGCAGAAGGTTCGGGTGAGCTGGGGAAGCATGGCTGGCAGTGCAGACAGACATGAGACCAGGAGACCAGACCTCTGACCCAATGCACCTTCCTGAATGAAAGGCGGGAAAAGGAACAAAGACATTACCCAGGCTCTCTTGCATCTATGGTTAGAGAGATGATATAGGTTCTGTCAGATGCATTCAATTAAGCCTTGCACTTGAACCGAGCTGAGTGGGAGTCAAGACGGCAGTATAAAGGGTGTTCACTTTCTGTTGCGGATCTATATAGTTGCTGTGTGGCTCTGGAGTTTCCTGATCCCCAGATAATGACAATGATGATGTAACCTTGCTAAATCTCTATACCCTTTTCTTTTTTTTTTTAAAGCCCAAGTAATTTCTTTTTACTGCAGCTTAACCACTGGACTAACAGTTCAGCAGGACCCCTCTCCCCCTCCCCATCACATCACTCTTATTTTATGCAGTTCATATGGAAAAAGGCCTTATGGGACCACCCAGACTTTTCTATTAGACTGCACAGTTAGACTCAGTAGGGACTGGGCCTTCACTTGGTACCTCCTACCTAGCCCTTCTGCTAGTGGGTTATTGGAACCTCATTATCACTGTTCCTCTTTGCATTTTAGTCTGTCCTTATTCACTTGAGACTTGCCACCCATCATTACTCACCATTCCTGCCTTTTGACCCACCCAGGGCCACGCACAGCTGAGGTGACTTGGTGTGTCTTGTAGTATCCCGAGGACAAACAAAAGCTGAGGACTTGACTGCCTGTCACTGAACATCTCCAATGGTTGGTAGTGGCCCACAAGCATGTTTTATCAGAGAAAGCTGAGGATATAAATGTGTGTGTGTGTGTGTGGGGGGGAGAGTGTCTTCCCTCTCCTTGGTGGTGGGGCCTATTTTATTGGCACAGCACCAAAGTAGGCAAGATTAGAAGGCCCACACATTCTAATTCTCCTTCTCTGAAGTGAGGCATTGGTCAGTAAAAGAATGTCACCATGACAGTAGAAAAGGAAGCCATGAGGGAAGCTGAGTTCCAAAGAGTGAGGTTGTGTGGAGCTTGCTACCATTTTCTAATAATGTGTCAGCAGTACTGGCCATCCAGCAGAAATATAAAGTCTCCGTTTTGAACATAATACATTGGAATCAGTCTCAAGAGACTCATGGCTTCTTAATGGTGGTTGTCAGAAGCTCATGACTGAGTAGATGATTGCAATGAGAAACACAGCCAGCTCAAAATTAGGAGGAGATAAGGCAAGAAGAGAAGGTGGGAATGTGGGGGGTGCCACGGATGGTAGTGCAGTGGTTTATGGCACTTCACCAAAAGACAGGAGTTGGAATAAAACCTTTATTTCACTTGTAAGCCACCAGATAAACAAAGTTCAAACCAAGCAAAAGTGATGCCATGAATGTCACTAGACCTGGGAAGGTCACGGGGACTTAACTGCAGACAGCACCTGTCCGATTCACATCCAGCCCACAACCTTCCCCAAAATTCAAACCCAATTATTCTATGGCTCACCAGCCATGGTCATCCCAAAGGCTGTCACCAAAGCCATGGTCTGCTCCCCAAGGGGGACTGGCTCTGGCTCCACTTTATTTGGCCTAGGTAAAAATTATTTTTTTTTTTTAAATTTTTATCCTCACCCAATGATCTTTTTTCCATTTATTTTATTTTTTTAAAGAAAGAGTAGAGGGGAGGGAGAAAGGCGGCGGGAAGAGAAACATCAATGTCAGAGAGACACATCGATTGGTTGCTTCCCATTTGTACCCCGACTGGGGCAGGGATTGAGTCTGCAACTGAGGTACATGCCCTTGACTGGGAATTGAACCCGTGACTTTTGGTTAACAGATCGACACTCTAACCACTAAGCAAACTGACTAGGGCAAAATTCTTTTTCTTTTTTTTAAATTTTATTTTTTTTAAAAAATATATTTTATTGAATTTTTTTACAGAGAGGAAGGGAGAGAGATAGAGAGCCAGAAACATCAATGAGAGAGAAACATCGACCAGCTGCCTCCTGCACACCCCCCACCGGGGATGTGATGTGCCCGCAACCAATGTACATGCCCTTGACCGGAATCGAACCTGGGACCTTTTAGTCCGCAGACCGATGCTCTACCACTGAGCCAAACCGGCTTCGGCTCTTTTTCTTTTTTTTTAAAGAGAGGACAAAACACCAACTAGGAGGGCTATACACAAGAAGACTAACAAATATTGACAAGGATGTAGGGAAACTGGAATCCTCATATCCTGCTGTTGGGAATGTAAAGTGGCACAGCAAAGTTGGAAAACAGACTGGCAGTTCCGCAAAAAGTTTAGTATCAATTATCATATGATTCATCAATCCCATTGCTAGGTTTATATCCAGGAGAATTAAGAACATACCTCCACACAAAAATTTGTACACAATGTTCACAGAAATAGTATTCATTATTGCCAAAAAGTAAAAACAATCCAAATGTCCATCAACTGATAATGGATAAAGAAAATGTGGTATATTAATATAATAGAATATCATTCAGTCATAAAAAGGAATGATGCATTGATACATGCTACAACATAGATGAACCTTAAAAACATTAACTGAAAGAAGACAGGTGCAAAAGGCCACATATTATATGACTCCACTTATGAGAACTGCCCAGAATCAACTCTTTAGAGACAGAAAATAGACTAGTGGTTGCCTGGGGTTGGAAAGGGGGAATGGAGAGTGGCTGTTAATGCGTTTGGGGTTTTTTTTTGGAGTGGTGAAAATGTTCAGGAATTAGATATAGTGATGGGTGCACATAATACGGACACACTAAAAACCACTTAAGTGGCCGAAACCAGTTTGGCTCAGTGGATAGAGCGTTGGCCTGTGGACTGAAAGGTCCCAGGTTCGATTCCAGTCAAGGGCATGTACCTTGGTTGCGGGCACATCCCCAGTAGGGGGTGTGCAAGAGGCAGCTGATCGATGTTTCTAACTCTCTCTTCCTCTCTGTAAAAATCAATAAAAATATATTTAAAAAAAATAAAAAACACTTAAATGCACACTTGTAGAAGGGTGAACTTCATAAGTATGTGAATTATATACAAAGTTATTTAAAAAAGAGAACTAGGTTTTTAAATGCTGATATTTATTAAGGCTCCAACCTTTAGGGTCCCAAAAAATCCCGAACCGTTCCCATGTGCTGCTTGGCAATTACTTATGGCTGAGAAGGAAGGACGTGGCCTGACTACAGCTTGACCTAGAAGTTCCTAAAAGCCCCATGGAACTAAGACATCATCTGTGTTACTCAATGTCCTTGATGCAAGGAGACCCACACACAAAATGGCTGATTCTGAAGATGAATCACTAAAGTTTCTGTTTTCAGAAAACAGAATTATGTATTGGACTATCCTTTCAACCTCTGCTACTAGTAAATCTAAGTGGCAAATTTATTGTTTCGATCTTGTCTTTTCTCTGAGTCAGGGTTCTAAAAGTGATCTATTCTCCTTCCCTGCTTATCAGATGTTCTCTTAAATGCCTCCTTTTATAGTAAAGGATGCTTTTATGAGTTAATTGCCCATGTCCTTTTGGTAGCAGGTATGACCCAATTGCAAAACAAAAACATGCCACCATCGCTGGCCCCTGGGGAAGCAAACTAGACTGATGACTACATTTGCAGCTCTGCCCCCCCTCGGTCCTTCTCCAGAGCACACACGTTCCAAAGGACCAAGGCGGTCTTTTACTAGATCAGTGCTTGAGATGGGGTCTGCCGGAAATGCCCCGAGCGCCCACTCATGCTAGCCTCCCACCCTGGCCCAGCCTCCACATCTCAGGTTGACCTTGGGCCTACGAGCCCATTTATTTTACCCCTAACCAGTCTCTGGCAGGGCAGACAGGCAGTCCCAGGCCGTAGCATGTTAGCAGATACCTCAGAAAGGCCCTGGTAGCCCCTGCCCACAGAGAAACAATATGTCCTAATTTAGGGGAAGGAACCCAAGAAGCTGAGAAATGAAACATGGCTGAAATGCTAGTTGTGGAATCAAAGTGACTAGTGCTTTGATGTCTTGCGTCTGAGCCTGGTGCTCTATGGTGCTCTCTCCACTCCAGCATAAGGTTCATCACTGATCACTTCTGTTAGGCCTCCTCGGGCTGAAAAGGATCCGAAGAACACCAAAGGTCAGGTGGGCCTGGACAGAGGGCACAGGCTTCCAGAGGCGGGGATCCCTGGGGTGAATGCCTTCCTGGGTTGTTTTGTGCTTGACTAGTTCTTCCATCCACCCCAGCCAATGGCTTTGAGGCTGGCCTCCCACTCCTCCCGGAGTTCCACACCATGCTCAGATGGAGCCCGTGCTCCTGTGCTCGGCTAGGCCCCACGGGGTGGCGAGAGGCACAGAGTTAGACTCTGTAAGTACCACATAAAGCCTTGGACCTTCCTTCTTTTCCTTCTGCCCCAGTTCCAGGGGTTGGCATACACAGAAGCAGACATCAGAATGGGAAGGGCACCTCAGATTCCACAGGTGGCACAAAGCCATGGGAGGGGAAGGGACTTAGGGTCACTCAATAAGTTAGTGGTAAAAAGAGATCAGTGTGCAGGTCTGTTCTGTTTGTAGGCTGCCACTGCCCAGCCACAGACTCAGGCCTGGGTCAGGTAAGGCGGAACTGAGGGTTCTGCCCTCCAAGAAGCAAGCAGTCTTTCTGCAATGTGCCTGCCTGTGTGAAACCATCCTTGTGTCCTATGAGGTTTCCAGTCACTCATTTCATCCACGCAGCCATACTGGGACCATCTTGGTGATGTCAGGAGCCAATAGCAATTTATGAAGGGAAGGTGCCCGAGAAGTAAGAATGGGCCCAGGGAAGGAAAAGTCATTTAGCCCCACAAAGATTCAAGCTCAAAAATCTCATAATTGGAAGGAACTGTGCAGTAAAGAAAAATGGAAGACGGCAACATGACTTCTGTATTGACATTTGGTTCTTAATAATAACATCCAAAATGCATTTTGTTCTTATAGCGCTGCACTGGGTAGAGGGTATATGTTGCCGGAGTTTCCCTTGGGAAGTGGGGAGGAGCTGGTGGTGAAAGAGACTGACTTCTCTTTGGGACCTATAAGCAGCCCAGTGGAGAGCTGCAGCAGGTGCTGCGACTCTGACAGGGAGTAGGGAGGCAATCCCAGCCAGCCTGCAAACACTTGGGCAGAGTCCCTTGCCCCCAGCCCGTAAGAACACGGTTGCTGATGGGGCCAGAGGTGGTAGCTCCAGGAGAGTGGAGGGAAGGCTGGGATGTTACATTCTTGAGGCTTTCACAGGTACATGTCATCGTAGCCCGGCGGGGGGAGATGGTCTGGGTTAGGTCTGGAATGGAAAGAGGGGCTGGTGAGTTGGAGTGATGGAGGGCGGACAGGGCCCTGAGCTGAGGGAGCCTGTACTCCAGAATGATGTGGTGGTTTGTGGAGTTGAAGAGCACATATGTACTCTAGAGCCAGACAGACTGGGACTGAATCCTGATTCTTCTACCTTGGCTAAGTTACTTCATCCTTCAAGGCCTCGGTTTTCGCCATCTACTAAATGTGGACAGTAATATCTATCCATGTTAATAAGTGTTGATAAGGATCCAGTGGGTTCCTGTCACAGCTAAACAAGTGAGGGAGTCGCTCCTCCTCACCTGGGTCCTGAGGGGAACTGGGGGGAGGGAGGCACTGAGGAACGGGCGCTCCTGGAAAGCTTTGGGAGGGCATCGGCAGGGCCTGAAGGAGGCTCCACTCTCTTGCCAGTGGGGGATGGAGCTATGGCATCTGTGCCTGGTGTGATGCCTTCGTTCCTGCAGCACTGAGACGAGCTGTCATCAGGTCCTACTTCTCAGCATACCTGAGTGAATACCTACCCAGCTGGACTGGTCCCAATGGGTCCAAAGGGGTCAAAGCGTGCTCCTGGAGGCACAGCGCCTGGAGGAAGCCGGTTTGGAAGGCCCGAGGATGGGTCAACTTGTACTCTTGGGAAGCCAGATCTCAGAGGATCCACAATCATGCCACCTCTTCGATACCTGAGGCAAGAAGGAAAAATGGGTCTGCAGGTATGGCAGGGAGCTTTGGAGAAGAGGTGAAGGAGGTGAGAACAGACTAAGAATGCCTGGGCTAATCCTGCATGGTGGCTCAAGTAGATACACCGGGATGGCTGCTCAGGGCAAGAACACAAACAGCACAGTTGGACTTCTGGATCTCCAGGGTCCCTGAGCCTATAAAATAGAGTCTCCTGCCATGACCTGTACCCAAGGGGAGCAATTTGATCAAGAACAGGTGCCAGAATTTGCCAAGGTCAACGCAGAACCATCATGGCAGAACCATTATGAGGCTCTGCAGGACACTACTTTAGGTCTAAGGCTAAGGATAACATTGGGACAATCCATGCTGCTTGCCTTTCTGCTGTTTATTTAAAGAACCCCAGGGCAATCTATGGACTCCCTGTGGGTCCTGACAGCATCTCTCTCATGAAGTTCCATGGATCCAACCTCATGTGCTCAAACTAGGACACATGTGCGGAGGTCACTGTTCAAGCTTAACTGTGCACTTCTGGGACTTCATCACTTGTCTAAAAATCAGATGGCCAAGCTGGGACACTTTGCAGCAGAGGTTAAAGTATAGTGTGACTCATTCAGAGAAGACAGTGCATAGCTCAGGCTGTAATGACGTTAGTGGATATATGACAAGAACCACCCAGAGCTTATTGGGGATTAAAGACTCCCCTTATCAAGCGAGGTGACCTCTGAGTAGCACTGAGATGTCCTAAAGTCTGTAGCCCACACCTGATAAACTGACATGGTATTCTGCCCTCCAAGGAGGGGGCTGCTGTCCTCCATATCGTAAGAGGGGCCAGAAAGGGCAGAAGAGATGCTTGCTGTGCTGGCTTAGCCCCTCTCCTACACTCAGAGCAGAACAATGGCAATGACTTCTCAGCTGCTTGGCAACAGACTGCTCCTTCCCCACAAAGGAAGACTGATGAAAGCTCTAGAATTAGAAAACGAGCTGGGTTGAAAAGCCAGGAAAGCAAGCTGTATTGCTGCCATCTCTCCAGCAGTACTTACCCAAAGGGGTCTAGGTCCTCTCCCCCGACAGCAAATGGGCCCAGGGGATCACACCTGAAACAAACAAGGGACAATTACTGAAAGTCCCAGAGCAGCCAGGCACCTGGGCCCCCAGGAGCCTGAACCTGACTCCCAGGCTTGGGGACAAGGGAAACCCTTGCATGAACCATAACACAAGGGATATTTCAAAGTGGCCCTTGGCAAAGACTAACACTGATGTTACAATGGCTGAATACAAAGCTACAGAACATGGAGGATCCCAATTGTATAGAAAGAAAAATATTAACAGTGGTAATTGCCACATAAATTTTATTTTATTCACACCCTTCTCAAACTCTTAAACGTTGGATAAAGAACCAAGATCTTTTAGACCAGAAGATTATTCTAAAACCCAAAACCAAAAGCTCAGATTTAAAAGCTTTCAAGGATAGAGTGAGATGTATACTCACAGAGAACTCAGTGCTTCTCAACCTTTTTTTTTTTTCCATTATGGTCCCTGCATGAAATTTTCCCACCACAAGTGCTATATCTGTTTTCGCTCTGTAGCCCACTGGAGGGCCACAAACCCTATTGTAAACGCTAAGATTTTTTTCACTCCTCCCCCATTACCCTCATTGACAATGCATGAGCTAGGAGAATAAATGGAGTTTCTGTATTATATAATATATATACACCCACAAAATAGAGCTCTCTCTCAAAAGCTTTACGTATCTTTATATTCTTTGATCCAACAATTGTATGTCTAGGTATCAATCTTAAAGAAAAAACACTTAATTCAAATGAAAATATCTCACTAATCAAGAGAAATGGGTCAGCCTATTCGGGACCAGTTAGGTACATTAGGGCATATCCCTAAATTCGGCCAAGGAAACAATGCTCTTAGAATGTTTTAAAATGATGTGTAAAAATGTTACTGTTCGAATGTTAACTGTGGGACAAAAAGGGATTATCAATAGCCTAAGAAATCAACTGTGAAAAGCGTGGGTGGGTGTGGATAAAAAAAAACTGGAAAGAAGCGTACTGAAAATATAAACAGTGGTGAGTTTCTTCTATAAAGAATATGGATATGAATGCAGTAAAATAAAAAAGACTTAGTATTTGAAAAAGTGGTCTTTGGAATCTGCTTGGAGTCCCAGTGAGCTATCCGAGCCTGACAGTTCTGGGGCATGGCAGATCCTTCATTAACAGCCCCTAATCTAAGCTCATAGGTAAGAAGCCATTAACTAAAGATCTGGGGGAAATCCAAATGCAGGTGCTTCTCCCGTCAGTCCTACCTCATGACTGGAAGACAGTGTGATTTAGAGGGACTAGGTTTCCAAGGGGAGGTTATTGTCCCCAAGCTGGGCTCATGGCACTGGCAGCCAAGGTCTCTGGTGGCCTCCCAGCATCCTGCCTCACTGGTCGGACCAGCTGATGCCAGAGGGCAGCAAGCATTTCACCTATCCCCACCAACTGCCCCCTTCAGAGCAGCAAGCAGAGGCCTTCTAGTGGCTATAAAAATGCCTGGGAGAACTGAGTCTGATGGCTCCTGAGACATGCAGCCATCTCTATTTCTCTCTCGTGAGCCACAGAGGGTGGGAGGTGAGAGGAAATGGAGAACAATGGGGCCTAGAATGGCAGCCGCAAGGCCAACCCCAATAATTTGTGTACTTGAAACTGCCACAACATATCCTTTAGGCTCACACTCAACACACGCACACTTCAGTGAGCTCATTATGGCACATGTGCAGAATCCATTTTAAAATAGTCTCTGTCCTGGATGTGCTGACTGAGGCTCTAGGCTAGGGTTTAAAATAAGAAAGTGACTTTTGCACATGGTCCCTGAAATCAAGCCCCTACTACTACATCTGGTAATCAACTGAAGAAAAGAGTGTTGTATAATTAACCCATAGGCACAACTTCTTGGCTGGCCCACAGGACAGTATGTCTCAGCTCTAAAAGGATTTGAGGTGAGTCTAGCCACCGTTTCCTTCTTATATGCTCCCCCTCCTCTCAGACACACAACACTCCTCTCCTGGACACACAACTCGAGTGGGCACCATGCCAATGGCTAAGGTGCTCTGGGGAACTGGAGTGGCCTCAGGGTTGAGATTAAGAGATGAGCTCTGGACTCTGGGTCGGGAACTACCTAGCTGGTTGGCAGGGATCTATCACTAAACCTCTGCATCCCAGTCTTCTAGGATGTAAATCTAAGCAGTGACACCCACAGGGACTGCTGTAACAGAGAAACGTAGTTTGGCCATAAGCAGATCTGCTGGCAGTTCAGAAAGGCCTGGAGGGATGGTTAACAGCAGCTACCACTATTTACCGTGAGCTTGCTTTGTGCTAAATTTAGTTTTTAAAAGATTAAAATTTTTAACTTTCTGAATAGGTAATGCATTCACCAGCTTCAAAATTTAAGAGTAAAAAAAGATACACACATCCATTATCTTAGGCTACCTGTGTTTTGAAATTCAGAATTTTTTGTGTTTTAGAAAGGTCAGGTGAGTACATGTAATACCCTGTTTCCCTGAAAATAAGAGTGTCTTATATTAATTTTTTTCTCCCAAAGTTGTACTAGGTCTTATTTTCAGGGGATGTCTTATCTTTCCATGCGCTAGGTCTTATTTTCGGGTACACATGGTACATATTGTGCAACACTCCCAGGCAGCATCCTGTACCCAATACCCTATTTCTGAAAAATGAATAAATAGTCACAATTGGGGTTATTAAAAATATAAGGAGCTTCATGCCACTTTAGGTCAGATTTTCATATCAAACAAGGTTCAGGACCAACCTGATTTTGGGGGAAAACAAATAAAATACCATGGTTTTCAGATTTCTTTTGATTTCAGAATTATTGTTAGGAGATTATGGACTCTGTAAAAGTAAAAAACCTCTTCACTCTCCTCTCTTCCCAACTTATCAAGTCTTCATTTTCTTTTATGTCCTTCCAAGGTACTCTTTGCAGCAGCCCTCTGACTATGCGAACTTATTAGTTCAGAAAAACAACTGACAATATATGATGCCAATGACAAAATTCAAGCTTTAAAGTGAAAATTAGCAATATGGAAATATGAATTATCACTAACTTGATGGCTTTTCAATACTGATGCTGATGAGATTGGTAATATTAATGAATGTGATTTTTTAATATTGTGTAATAAAAATGTATCAACATTTAGCAGATCTGCACATCTCAGTGAACCAATATATTATATTCCAAACAATCCTATCTAATAAAAGAGTAATATGCAAATTGACTGTTACCTCTGCTACACCCACCAGCCAATCAGGAGTGAATATGCAAACTAACCAACCAAGAAAGCTGTGGCCACAGAGAGAGCAGGGGGGAGGCTTGGGTTTCCCCAGTGATGGAGGAAGCCAAGCTTTCCACCTGCCCTTGCCAACCCAGGCTTCCACTCAATGCTACAATGTTTCAATGATAGAAGATAAATAAATCTCAACAGAAATGGCAGCCATGGAACTGGAGAGAGCAGGAGGCTAGGGTTTCCCCTGGCGATGAAGGAAGCCAAACTTCTGAAGCCCTGGCCTGCCTTGGCCTCCACTAATATTTTTCTGTTTTGGAAAATACAGTTATTTTAATAAAATTTCTTATTTATTTTAACATATAATGATTTTATTATTGTCATTTTAAAATTAATGACAAAATATGTATTTTTAAATTTTGGGCTGTAATTTCTTATATGATAAACACTGACAGATATATCTCAAACAGAACTCCTTGGGGTCCTTAATAATTTCTGAGAATGCAAGAGGATTCCTAAGACCAAAATGTTTGGGATCTGCCAGCATAGGAAATATAATTCAAGGAAGTTAAAAAAAAAAAAAAAAAAAAAAAATATATATATATATATATATATATATATATATATATATATTTAAAAATATATATATTTTAAATATATATATATTTTAAAAAAATATATATCTAAGGATTTATTTTTATTAAAGCTGTTTAAGCATGGGGAAAATTGTTTTTATTATATAGGATATATATATCCTATATAATAAAACCCTAAAATGCAAATTGACTGAACAGCAGAACGACTGGTCGCTATGACATGCACTTAATGCAGGATCTGCCCCCTGGTGGTCAGTGTGCTCCCACAGGGGGAGCACTACTCAGCCAGAAGCTGGGCTCACTGCTGGCGCCTCTACGGTACTAAGGACCTCTCCAAGTGGTCCCAGACTGTGAGAGGGCGCAGGCCAGGCTGAGGGGACCCCTCCCCTCCGCCAAGTGCACGAATGTCGTGAACCAGGCATCTAGTACACACACACACACACACACACACACACACACACGCGTGCGCACGCGTGCATGCACATGCATGTTCATAGTGTGCAATTTAAAATGAAATACTGGACATGCTAAGAATACCCCATTGAGGTTACACAAATGATAACATAGCTGTATTATATAGTATCAGATACTAAAAAACCATACTTAATACTTTAGTCAATGAATTATAAAATTAAAAAAAAGTAGAACACAAAATATTTGGAACATTAAAAAATATGTAAAGATATAGACTGGGATTAAAAATGAATTTTGAATGGCATAAGAGCTTTATATCTAAGGATTTATTTTTATTAAAGCTGTTTAAGCATGGGGAAAATTGTTTTTTCAAAATGGGGAACAGGATTTGGGACAATCTCCTCACTGATGGACGACAGATGGAGCAAAGGGAAATGGGTAAGAATTGTAAGTAATAACAACAAAAAAGTTAGACTTATCTGAAAACAAACAATAAAAAAAAATACCTCCATTACAGATCTCAGGAGTAGGACAGATCTACTTTTCACCCCCAATTCTCCATCACAATGGAATGTCCTCTCCATCTATACCAACATCAAACCCAGCATCAAACCAGCAGATCCAGTAGCCTTTGATCTCTGGACACACCTCAACACACAAAGAAGCAACTCTCTTTATGGACTAGGGCAGACATCCCAACTTCAGTATGCATTTGGAAGTGTATGGGGTAGGCAAGATGAGGGTGTAGAAGGTGAGAGGTGAGACACAGAACTATGTCCTATGGGAAGTGGAAGAG